AGCATGTGAAAAACGAAAGAAGAACCATGAAAATGCAGAAAAATTTTGCACCCAGCATTGTAGCCACAGTTGAGTGTTGCAACCATTGGAAAAAATTGGGCATGCAAAGATCCAACGTTATAGCCACAGTTGAGTGTTGTAGCCATGGGGAGAAATTGGGCTAATAGAAATCCAACACTGAAGTGCTGAATTGAATGTTGCAGCGGCGAGGATAAATGATTGAATTTAGTCTTAAAGTCTTCATGAAAGTTGTAGCATTGGATGTGAGCTTTCTAATGATTTTGGAATCACTTAAAAAAGAGATCTAGAACTCTAGTTATGACATTTTTAGTGAGTAAAGGTCAAGTTGTCAACATTTAGACAAATTATTGCGATTTTTAAAATTTTTAACATAGTAGATGATGAAATTAGAACTTGAGGTCTTCAAGAGATTTGTAGATAATCTTTTTTATCTTTCATGAGATAAAGATGAGTTTGATTGTATTAGTGAAACTCCAATTATGTTGTGTTATGTGGAAGTTGTCATTGTATACTAATTGATGATTACATATGTTGAAAATGATATGTCTTAACTTCCCTATAGCATATGGTAATATATGATGTCCTAAGTTGTTATATAATGAATTGTTGATATTTAGATTATGTTAAATGATAATAGTTGATGATGAATATTATTGATGTTGTGTTGTATATTGTTGATTAATTTGGTGAAAATGGAAAGTTGTAAAGTTGCACATTGTATAAAACAATCAAGTTGTGGACATGTGATTGAGATGCATGTCTAAGTTAAGATACATAGATGCTAGAGGTGAATTAAATTATTTTGAAAGTTTCTTCCCTCTAGGGTCTATGTGGTTTTGGCATGGAAGTAGTTGAATCATATTGTAGTTGAATGACTAATCGAGCAAAGTGGGAAATCGAGGTTAAAATTCCTAATCTAGTATTGAAGGGTTGTGGTATTTGGAGGGTATTCGGCGAGTTAATTTTATAGGTGGCTTAATTAAGTTAGTTAATATCATGTTAGGCCCATACCCAAATTGTTCTATCCTGACATAGTACCATACACACTTTCTTATTTAAGTGGCAAAGCTTGATAAATCAAACAAAGTTGTCTATACTCAACTCTTTTATGAGGCCTAACATTGTACTATACTTGACCTAATTGGGATAAGTCTAACGCTGTAATTCAATAAGAATAAACCATTTAAACTACTTAACTTGAGTTATAGGAGATCTTCATTAGTTGACATACGTGACAATGCATTAGATGCTAATATTTTGTCTGAGTTAATTATAATAAAGTTGATAAATGTTGAATAAGCTATTAAGTCGTGAGTTATATTATTGTTGAGCATTACTTTTGTTGTTTTGTCATATTATTGTATGTTGTTTCTTTTGTAAGCTTACCCTTATTTTCCGTGCGGTTGGGACTGCGATGACCATACTTGGTATGCGAGCAGGGTAAGGTTAGATGGTTGACTTGCAAGATGGCGGCTATTTTGTGTGATTCCTCTGATGGAATCATATTTTGAAGTCCTCGACTAATTATATAAAGGATATTTGTAATTGTATGTTATTTGATGTATATAGTTTATGTAGTGGATTGTATATGTTGTATCTCCGGTACATTTTACTTAATGCATGATTTTGTTTTAAATTAGATGTTGATCTTCAGTAGACAGTGCGATGGTCTATTAGATCATTACACCAATTATTCATCATATTTTCATCTCTATTTAATATTTATAAAAAAAAGTTCATCTATTTTAATATTTGTCAAAATTTCAAAAGAAATAGGTTACATATTTGATAAGTAGCACTTTTTGTTAATAAAAAGAAAATATTAAATAACTCATTAATATATAAGGAAAAGTCCGTATATATCAATATACTTGTAACAAATTAAAATCGTCCATGTAGTATTTATAAATATATGAGATATATGTTATATCTTATATGAATATTAATATAAGTTCAAAATGATCTTTTATAATTGCGTCAAGTATAGTTTGAAGAAGGATTACGATTTACAACATATAACATATTTAAAATATAAGGGGCAAAATCCGTGAAAAAATTATTTGACGATAAAATTAACGATAAAGTAAAAATTTGAGGGTACAAAATATAATTAATTAAACTTAAAGTCACGTTAGCATTCCATTTGCATTTTTACAAACAATTGATGAAGGAATACAATTCAAAAAACATTCTCAAAATTTAAGGACAAAATTCACAACAAATATAAGTAGAAGACAATTCTCATCTTACAAGTTCCACATCGACTAGAGATAAAGTAATTAAAGAGTATTTGTACTTATTTTACAAGTCTCACATCGACTAGAAAATAAAAAATATCATAAAAAGTTATATATATTTTTCGACCATTATAAAAGTTTTTACCAGCATTTAGAATAATTACCGCTAAAATATTTAGCGGTAAAAGATTTTGTAGTAATTTTTATTGTCATTAAAAGTCATATTTAATATAACTAAAAATCTATTTTGTTGTAGTGATTTAATCATGTCGTTTTTATTATCCAGCTTTTGATATTAAAAATGCTTTTGATATATATATCACCTGATTTTTAGTTATAATACAAAAAATGTTAGACCAAAAAATCGATTATCTCTCCTATTCCTATTAATTTATTATAGGACTATTATAATAATTTGAATTTAATATTTTTTAATCAATAAAAATTTATGTTGGAACTCACAACTGGGTTCTCTCTTCTCTCTCATAGTAACAATATCGCACCTTTCATCCTTTATGTAAATGATATTTTTGGAACTACATGTATTTCACTTATCCAAATCCTTTTTCAAAAATTATCTGAGCCCATAAAGAGCATGCAATTATGCATTTTTTTGATAATGCTGGAGAGAAATGACTAATGAGAAATGGTTTCTTCAACAGTTACATCTAGAAATTGCAATTGTTCTTCAAGAATTTTCTCCATTCGTTTTCCATTTTAATGAATTATCACAATTGTACAAGTTAAGGGTTCAAACATTTAATGAATTTTTTATGGGAAATGACTAATTAAATTGTTGTACAAGCAACTCGCAGGATTGCAAGAGTGCAGTAGAGTGATGATTTACTTTTTTTAAATTGTTTTTCATTATTATTTGAGAACTTTAACTTGTGATTGTGAGAAATTGCATTTGCAGAATGACCAAAAGGGTGGCTCTAAGACACAAAGAGGAGAGAGAAATGGATTGAAGAAGGGAAGAATGAGGAGAGAAAAAAGTTTTTAATTATTTAAAAAAAATAAATTATTATAATATCTCTATTCCACATGAATTAAATAAAAGTCACGAGTTTATATGTCTTAAAATTTTGATATAAGTTTGGTATAAATTGTTAATGTAATCTAACTTAAAAAAAGGTGTGAGTGTATTAGTAAATATATATATA